CGCATGTTTCGTGCGATATTACATTCATTACAGTGTCATGCTTATTAATTGGTTTCTTGTATCGTAATGCAATTTGAATCAGATATATAATAAATCAAATCTTTGATCGCATATTACTCGTGATTTTTCATGATGCATGATTCTTATTCAATACCAGTTATGTTTCTAATGATGCAAAATACAGATTTTTTTTTTCTTTTATGAAATGATGTATTTCCTTTAGGGACAGGGCTTGCCTCCTTCACCAAAGTTAGTTAAGAGGTTAATTAAGTAATTCTTGTTGATGAGAAAATCAGGTTAGTGATATTTGATCGCATTTCTGGATTTCTGTGCATGTGTATGTAATGTAAAATATTTATATTCTAATGAATGACGGAGAATACTTACTTTACGCGGTTCAGTTTGTCATCAATTAACTAGTTCAAGTTTACATTGTAATTAACTTCGAGAGATTGCATTTCAGGATGTCTATTTGCAATTTCCATTGCAAAGGAGGAAGCAACCAAGTTGGGGACGGTCATTGGAATTGATCTTGGAACGACCTATTCATGTGTTGGTGTTTATAAGAATGGCCATGTTGAAATCATAGCCAATGACCAAGGTAACGTATCACTCCATCGTGGGTTGCCTTCACCGACAGTGAGAGGACTCATTGGGGAGGACTGCCCAAAAATCAGGCAGATGTCAACCCCGAAAGGACCGTCTTCGATGTTAAGAGACTTATTGGAAGAAAGTAAGGCATTCTCAAGTTTTTTATTCTGGTCTATAAAATTTGATGAGAACAAAGGTATCTGACTCTTATCATTTTTCAGGTTTCAAGATAAGGAAGTTCAGAGAGACATGAAGCTCGTTCCTTACAAAATTGTCAACAAGGATGGAAAACCTTACATAGAGGTAAAAATTAAGGATGGTGAGAATAAGGTGTTCAGCCCTGAGGAAATCAGTGCCATGATTCTGACTAAGATGAAGGAAACCGCGGAAGCATTCCTTGGGAAGAAAATTAATGATGCTGTGGTCACTGTTCCAGGTAACTGGAACGACTCATGATATCACTCCTGTAATATTGATTGTTTTCAATTCATCCTGTTTTTGTTTTTATCAGAATTTTGACATTGGTTCTAATCAAATACAAGCTTACTTCAATATGCTCAAGAGGCAGGCCACACAAGTGACGCTGGTGTCATGCTGGTCTCATGTTGCTAGAATATTAACGAACCCAACTGGCCTGCCATGTTATGGATTGGATTGGACAAGAAGGGTGGCGAGAAGAAACATCTAGTCTTGATACTGGAGGTTGGAGACATTTGATCGGTCAGTTATTGACATGATAATGGTGTTTTTGAGTTTGCAAAAATGGAGTACTCATTGGAGGTAATTTTGTTACAAGTCTTGATATTGAGTGAAATATTATTTAGAAGAAAGATTGATTATGTCCGTGAAGGTTTCTTGATTCACGAAGGTAGTCTTCGTTGATGTTAGCGCCTGCTGTGTCACTTCCCCGACAGGTGAGGACGTTGACAGAGAATAATGGAGTACGTATCTCTTAAATTGATCAAGAAGAAGCATGGAAAGGATAATTAGCAAGGACAACAGAGCACTTGGCAAAGCTCAGGAGAGAGGCAGAGCGTGCGAAGAGATCTCTCAGTAGCCAGCACCAGGTTCGCGTGGAAATTGAATCACTTTTTGATGGTGTTGATTTACTCTGAGCCACTCACCCGAGGCTCGGTTTGAGGGTTGAACAATGACTTGTTCCGGAAGACAATGGGACCAGTGAAGAGAAGGCTATGGAAGATGCTGGATTACAGAAGAATCAGATCGAGGCGGTTGACGATTGTTCTCGTCGTGGTGGAAGAAGCACAAGGATTCCGAAGGTTCAACAGCTTTTGAAGGGGATTACTTTGACGGAAAGGAGCCAAACAAGGGTGTCAACCCTGATGAAGCAGTTGCCTATGGTTGCTGCAAGTGAAAGGAAGCATTTGAGCGGAGAGGGCGGGTGAAGAAACAAAGGTAACATAGTCTGTACTTGTAATTTTTAATTACGTGTCCAGAAGTCAAAAAAATTATTTATACAATAAGTAGTTTTTATTGAATTACATTGTCTATTGTTTTGGGGCACTCTGGATGAGAATCCTCTCCTGGATGGGCTCCCTCACCCTTGGAATTGAAACTGTTGGTGGAGTGATGACAAAGTTGATTCCCAGAAACATTTAATCCCTACAAAGAAATCCAAGGTGTTTACCACCTACCCAGGACCAGCAGACCACTGTCTCCATTCAGGTATGATTCCCTGTTTGACTGTCATTAAAGTGAACGATGCTCGGTTTTTCTGAATCCAAAAAATGCATGTCTGTATAACTTACTTTAATAATTCAATTCCATTTTCTTAATACATAAGGTTTTCGAAGGGAGTGAGAGGAGTCTTCACAAGGGACTGCCGTCTGCTTGGGAAATTTGATCTGTCAGAATTCCTCCCAGCTCCAAGGTTAGTTTCGTGCTTTCACGATGATGGTGTGGCTCTAAAGATAGTGCTTCAATTGATATGTGAAACTGACTGGTATGTTATGTGGTAATTGAAAAGGGGTACCCCTTCAAATTGAAGTGACCTTTGAAGTTGGACGCAAATGGCATCCTGAATGTGAAAGCAGAAGACAAAGGCACTGGAAAATCAGAGAAGATCACGATTACAAATGAAAAGGGACGTCTGAGCCAGGAGGAAATCGAGAGAATGGTCCGTGAGGCGGAGGAGTTTGCGGAGGAAGACAAAAAGGTGAAAGAGAGGATTGATGCTCGTAACAGTCTTGAAACCTACGTCTACAACATGAAAAATCAGATCAGCGACCAAGGACAAGCTTGCTGACAAGTTGGAGTCAGATGAAAAGGAGAAAATAGGAGAGTGCAGTGAAGGAAGCATTGGAATGGCTTGATGACAACCAGAGTGTGGAGAAAGAAGAATATGAGGAGAAGCTTAAGGAGGTGGAAGCCGTTTGCAACCCAATCATCAGTGCTGTCTATCAGAGATCAGGAGGAGCCCCAGGTGGTGGTGCATCAGGTGAGGACGATGATGATTCTCACGACGAGCTCTAGAGATGTTCGCTATAACTTGGCTTGTGTCTGTTGATTAAGCAGTAGCATGCAAAGATTGAGCAGTAGAGTAGGTTAATCGGAGTTTTTAATTTTTTATAAAGATGGAAGTTGAGAGTCTCCTAGCTCTTGTATTTTTGGTGTCCAAAATACATTGAATATAAATACTTTAATTTGTTTTAAGATTAGAATTAAAACAAAGCAGAAGTTACATATTGCATAAACTACAATATTATGCAAGCATGGGTATAAGCCCAAGTGGCATAAGATACAGTAATAAATATCTGTCACCTGAATATAATTTTTCGTGAGACAGATGTCAAATAGTAAAATTTATTGCTGAAAATTAATATACACATTAAATGTCCTCTAATTGCATATTTGGTTGCACGGTGAAATAGCAATCAACACGTTTTTTCTCATTACATCATGCAATCGCTTCAAATTGTGAACTTTCAACTTAGATACAATTTTCAACATGACACTGTTGAATTCAATTCAACACCTATGAAAAAAATACATAATTATAATAAATAAAATACTATATATAAAAGAGAGGAATGATTCTCAAAAGCTAGGTAAAAGAGCAACATGCAATTTCATGAATCCATACATTTCAATCACATGGATAAGGATTATAATGATTTGTGTGGAGATTGGTTGGTGATGATAAATCAATAAAGATTAAGAAGATCTAGCTAAAATTAGATACAAGCTATTACATTTTAAGTAATTTTGAGTAATGATACACAACAATAAAACATTAATAAAAGTAAGTTTCATGTATTGAATTTGCATAATATTAAAACGAAGGATTTGGTGGATAATATGACAAGACAATAAACAAGGCATTTAACAATGATAGTACAATAGGGCAAAACAAAGCAATAAGATTTGACAACTTTTTTTTAACTAAGATGAACAAACTAAAATCTTAATTAAGAAATAAACAATTTATTTAATTTACATCTAGAAATAACTAACCAACTATTAGGGTGACACGTCTTCAGGAGGACATAATAAAACATTATTTTTATATTTATTGAGCATTAATTAATTTATTTTATTAGAAATTATACTTAGTGTAAAGAATGTGGAGGAGAAAAACACCTTATGATCCGTGAGTGACTTTTCCTGAAAGCTTAAATGGAATACCTAAACTATCAATAATAATTTGATCATTACTCTCCCACGTTGAGACGTTGGAACATGCTTTATAGAGAAGAAAGAAGAATACAATTCATAGGTACTTAGAAGGATTATTATTAACTCAGCGTAAGTTTATTTAGTTCATACCTAAAACTTATTATATAAAAAAAGTTATGCTAAAATTCAACGTGAATTCAAATTTCCAATTATCATAATATTTTTCTACAAATTTTTTTCTCTATCAATTAATTTGAACTATATTGGATATTAAGGTTGTGAATTAATTTGAACCATACCTGTCACAATTATCTTAATTTATTGAAATGCGAAAATACATGATTTGATATTAATTTAAATTAATATAACAATATAATTTAATGAATTAAATCATCCCAAAATTGAACTATATTTCAAACCTGAATAAGTTACTAACATTGCTTTAGTGGGAAATCAAAATTTAATAAATTAATAATATAAGGTAAAGGTAACATATACATGGCCTAAAGAAAACTTTGGGCAGTGACGGTAAGCCCAAGCCACAATGAGTCCAGACTCTAGCAAAATTGGCATTTACCAATAATAGAAAAAAACATTAATTAGTTAATTAATCAATTAATTAATGGTTTGTAATTAATTAATTACTGGTTTGTAATTAATTAATTAATTAATTACTGGTTTATACAACACAATTAACAAAGCGAGAAAAACAACGATAGAAGGGGTAACGCGGTCATTTCCGTTATGTGCCTCTTTCTCACCATTTCTTGCTCCTAAAACCAAAACACGGTTCCCTTGGAAGAACGAAAGAGAGAAAGGAAAAAAAGACAGAAAGAAGGAAACTGAGATCTGATTCGGCGCCGACGATGGACAACAACGGATCCGATTGGAAGATCGACCAGGTGGCCATGTGGCTTGGCTCCACCGTCTCTTCCGCCTTCTTTTCTTCCTTGGAACGCTTTTCTTGCGTCAACGTCGCAACCTCTGACCCCGACAACGACGACGACGAAGACGATTACTATTCCACCACCACCGCCACTCCCACCGCCGCCACCACCCCCACTGCCGTCAACTCCAATCCCGCCTCTGCCCCGGTCAACGCTGAAAAAACAAATGACGTCTCCAACCTCCCCGTTTGAGGCCATACGACGTCGTGGCTGCTGCTGCTATGTATAGACCTTTTTCCTTTTCCTCTTTTCGCGTGTGTGTTGTTATGTAAGGAATTCCGCTTTTCGTTGCTTCAATTTTTTGAAAAAAAAATGTGATGCCATTTTTTGCCTGTCTACATATATAATTATCTGATTATTACATGCTCATATATTTATATTAATTCTATTATTTATTTCTATCTATTTATTTTATCTCATTGTTGTGATATGTTATTGACGCTATTTCAATTATGCTCCGTTGATGCTTTTTGTATTTTGGTTTGGGCAATTCTTTGAATTATCCGTTGGAAATATCGTATTAGTCATGGATTTAATTTGAATGTACCCACAAGCGAAGCGTTTAGATGTTGCAGTACTGTCTCAGAGCTCTGTTTTCATTACGAGTTCTCTAGCTAGGCCTAGGTCCTGATTCATTTATTACGTTGGGGTGGTCCATTGTGGATTGAGCCTTGGTACATTGCTAAGAACAACTCACAGAAATGTTAGTACACTGGAGATAATGGTTTCAAATTTCTAAAAACACGAGATGACATGTGATGAAACATTATTGCTGTGTTCAGTGAAATATTTAGAATTATTGGATGAATAGGGAAAAATGTCTAAAAGTTATAAAAAAGAATAGACACGTACACCATTGCCCTTGTCTTCCACATATCGAATAAAATGTAAACGCTAACGGAAATAAATCAAGTTTAAGATGAGGTTTAGTGTAGCTGGTCTTATAGCAGTTATTTGGATTACACGTACGTATCACCTGATGCTTATATACATAATGAGCTGATCACAAATTCTAGTTTTGGGGGTGTCAAATGACTGGTTTAAATTTTGCATACCCAACATTTTGGTTCTTCTGGGAAAACTCGTGTGAAGGATATTTCTTTAAAATTATTGCCTAAACAAGTTATTTATTCTATGTGAACGATAGTATGCTGGGATAGAAAACGAAATGGAAGGAAGTGAAGCAACTCTTATGCAGATTTATTTCTGAGGATTGTACATGGGAGTGTTATACCTCCAAAACCTGATATTCAATCCAGACACAATAATTTAGCAGGAAGTTCAATTTTTCTTAGTTCATAAATGTAAAATAGTTGGACAATACCAAAAAAGTTGTTATTGTTAAACGTTACTACCTGCCATCCTATATAACAAAAGTTAAGGAATTTAGTTAGTAGTATTAAATTTCTTAGTTTATATTTTTCTAAAATTATCCTCAAAACTATTTAGATTTTCACTCTTTTTATCCAATTAACTAACTCATCTCCTCTTAGCATCTTTGCAAACAAAAGAAAATTGTTGGGCACAATCTGAAGGGATCATATAAAAAAGAGATTTCCCTTGCAATAAGAAGGCCAGAAGTAGTATAAACCAATGATTTCTCAATTGTCATTGGTTTAGTCTGCAAAATTTATTAAGTCTATACAGGGAGATCTGTCTTGGAAGTAGAATTATAGATTTAGAGTAGATTTAGCTTTAAAATATGCTCGGAGGAGGATTAGATTTCATTCTGGTTAATAATTCTCGTTAAGATTGATTCCCTGTCCGTATTCTAACTTTTGGAAAAGGTGTTAAGTGGAGTGCCCTGTAGTGTATTTATTTTTTTTCGTTATAGTGGATGCTGGATATGGGAAATAAATATCTCTAATATCTGTAATGGAGACTGGTATTTTTAAGCATAGACATGCAATGTGAAAGTGAGACTAATTTGTGCTTATGCTGTTCCCTTTTCTTTCTAGGTTTCATCTTTCTCCTCTTTCCCACTTAACTCTTTACATGTGCTCGTGTGTGGATGAATCACTCAGTATCCTATCGGATGTATTGCTTTGTAGTTGGAAACAATAACTTACAGAATGAAAAGAATTATAGAAGATCAACAGTGTCATATTCACTGGCTAGGTGGAAAATCTTTCTTCAATTGTTGCTTTTGGTATGCATGCAGTGCTTCTCTCTGGCAGATAATCGGGACTTGCTGGTTCTTTGCTCATGATCACTGCAGTGTTATAACCAATTTATTTTCGTTAGAATGATACGAAAACACAACACGAACAGACAGTCAATGCTGTTTTGAATATTTTACCGATTTTACTGCTCTCGATTCTCCTTCCAACATAGAAGCATGACTATGCATCGACGAATTATGTAAAGCTTTGCTCTCTTCTCTTTCAAAATTCTACCTTTTGGTGCCTGAAACTTGTCTTGCTTTTCTGTGGACGTGGAAGTGTCCATGATCTGGTTTCTGTTTTTCCAAACTATCCCTGTTGGAATTTTTCTCTTGCGTCAAAGGAATGTGTCTCGGTAGAAGTCTGTCTATAGAAGTTACTCAGATTTTGTTCGAGTGCGCTTTGAGTTTGAAGTCAATAAAAGTGGTGAAAGTAAAGGCAAATAGTTATTAGTAATTGGAGTTAGCTTTCTGCGGTCAAACATAGAACAGATTTTCTGCTTTAAGTCGTGGTCTTGGGCTTCTCTGGTCTAACGTCCGGAATCCCGGGACTGCTGTCTTCTCTGCTCTGCCTCCCCATTTACTGCCAAAAGACAAAGAAACTGTCTTGCCTCTAATTTTTCTATTGGATAAGTATAAATGCTTTAAGATTGACTGACTGGGGGTTTCTCTCATCATGATCCTGTCAAACTGAAAGAGAAATATACAAGTAATGTGTGGACCTTTGCACTCAGTGAGATTATTTTAACTCAAATAATTATTTTTAAATTTAATTATACTGTTGCTCCTTTTTATTATTTTCATTTCTTGGAATTGATTTCATACCCTTTTAATTGTACAATTTTGATTCTCTACTGTTTTGATTCTGCATGGCATCAGTATAATTGTTTATATAACTATTTACTACATAGTCATCAATAGTTTTCCCTATTGATAAGTCAACATTTATGTTAAATGTTGTATGTGTAAGTTGATGAATACATGAAATTTGAGCAATTAAAATTGTTAAAAATTAAGTGCATGAAAAAAAAATGGCACTAAATTCGAAAAAATGATAAGAAGAAGTAAAGTCTGACATTTTTAAACTAAATGAGATTTCAAGAATAACTTGCAATCTCCAATTCCTTTTACTAAGAAAGCTACGGTCTTGATGCTAATTTATATAAACTAATATTTAAGCAAAAACACCCTAGAAACCTTTACGGAAATAAACATCGACACAATTTTACTTCAAGCCATTACATATGAAATTGATTTCCAAACTCATTCCATGGCAACTACATTTTGCAACCTGATTTTATTCGTGCAACATATGTAAGAATATCATGGACAGCCTTTATGAAGTTAGCACGAGGATAGTCTCGTGTTCTTGTGGGTTTGAGAGGCAACAACTTATGCCATGTAAGAGAATATCGTGGAAATAGTATCATATATTATGATTTATAAAATACAGAAACCTTCGAGATTCTTTATTTAGGTGCTACACAACTCCTTAGAGATTCTTTATTCAGGGCTTGTTATTATATAATTTTATCTGCATGGCTTGAGTTTTTAGTTATAATAATGGCACATTTGTCTTGGAATTCGAGTCTAAATAAATCAAAGAATCCATTTATTAAATTATATTAAAATTGAGTCCTTTGAACCGCTTTATAATATTAGTTACTTTCAATTGATAATAATGCAGGCTTTCGTCATCTCCCGTGCAGTTAAAACAACTTAATATATTTGTTAAAGTAACATTCATAACATTTTCCTCTCACATTAATAATGATAACGTGTATGATTTGGGCGAAATACTGGAGTATTTATACTTTTATACATTTTTAAAAATAAAGCATCCTTGTTAGTTTATTGGCTTACTGAAATTGTGAAACCTGGCACCAAAATAAACTGCATGTAGCTTACAAACACCACCATTTTGAGATTTACCCTCTACCCCTGGTACCCAAATAAAGGCATTGATCTTTGGTGCTACCGCGTCAAAAACTGCATGTAAAATTTACTTTGGATGCATTAAGAAATATGTATCTGCACAACAGTTCAAAGGCTTCGAGCTTTGATCTTGTTTATTTGACGTAATATATTTTTTTAATATAAATTTTGTTAAATTTATTTGATGTTTCAAATACATTTTTGAATATTATTTAGATTGTTTATACAGATACATTTTCACTTTAATATTAATTATTAAAAAACGTGTTTAAAATATCAAATATTAAATATTAATTAAGAAACATATTTGAGATCTCAACTAAATTTAACAAAATTTAGTTAAAAAAACTTAAATTTACGTAGTTTTAACAATAAAATATTAAATTAGTCTAAAATTTTGAAGAGAAGTAATTTTAATTTTTATTTAAAATTAATAAACTAAAAATATATTTAATTCATTAATTAATAATGTGCGAACATCTTTTTTACATGAGAAAGTATTGAGCTCAGATGTGAGCTTTCAGCATAATTGTTTTAGAGCATCAAAGTGACCAATTTATTCCAATTACATGCTAAAATAATTTGTTATTGTGTCTCTTTATTTTAGCAACAGAAGGTTAAAAATAGAAGAATTGTTTTATCTTTTATTTGAAAGGAAAGCCCGAGCCTTAACCACATGGTTGGTAAATAATTACAGCTATGTTTCTAATTTCTAAAAAAAATGAGCATACTAAATAACGAATTATATTAATTATAGTCTAGATACTTACTAATCAAACTAATACTAGACTTTTAATGATCAAACTAATACAATTAGTTGAGAAAGAATTAAAGGATATGAAAGGAAGAAAAATAGTTACATGTGCTCATTTCACNAAAAAAACTTAAATTTACGTAGTTTTAACAATAAAATATTAAATTAGTCTAAAATTTTGAAGAGAAGTAATTTTAATTTTTATTTAAAATTAATAAACTAAAAATATATTTAATTCATTAATTAATAATGTGCGAACATCTTTTTTACATGAGAAAGTATTGAGCTCAGATGTGAGCTTTCAGCATAATTGTTTTAGAGCATCAAAGTGACCAATTTATTCCAATTACATGCTAAAATAATTTGTTATTGTGTCTCTTTATTTTAGCAACAGAAGGTTAAAAATAGAAGAATTGTTTTATCTTTTATTTGAAAGGAAAGCCCGAGCCTTAACCACATGGTTGGTAAATAATTACAGCTATGTTTCTAATTTCTAAAAAAAATGAGCATACTAAATAACGAATTATATTAATTATAGTCTAGATACTTACTAATCAAACTAATACTAGACTTTTAATGATCAAACTAATACAATTAGTTGAGAAAGAATTAAAGGATATGAAAGGAAGAAAAATAGTTACATGTGCTCATTTCACATGCTATGTCATAAAATATGCATATCTATTATAATATCCAAAACTATGTTTTCAGTTTATACGTTATTTTTGTATATCATAAAATGTAACAATTTATACGTCATTTTTTATGTCATAAAATGTAATTTTTGCCGTAATGAATCGTCATTCTTTCCAGACTAAATAATAAATGGTTGTACCACGTAATAAAGATCAAGATGCCAATTTATTTTCTACTCATAATGTGAATGACATTTTTAAGTACTCATTGAAGTCTTGAGAAAAATGTTTCCTTTACTTGATAAGAAGAATTTTTTAAGATACAGTAATCTCATTGAAAGCATTAGGCAATTTCGATTTCAATTTAAAGAATGAAATTCATTATTTTCCTTTTAAATTATTTTTCAAACGAGAATATTCGTGTCCATTCTTTCTTTTTCACTAGTTATAAATATGTTTTAAGCTGTAAGAGAAAACACTATTTTATTATTGAAGGAATGGCGGGACATTAATACCAAAAGTTAACCAATGGCAAGAAAAGAGCATCCCAAGCAAAGGTCGAACTTTGTATAATAAAATTTAAATGGCCCCACATGGTTTTAATGCGTACCACACATTTTAATCATTAAAAAATATATATTCTTTTGATATACTTATATTTTGTATATTTATTTGATATTATTTTTTCTTATTTTTTTTAAATACAAAAATTTAATCGTTTATAATTATTTTATTTTTATATTATATGTTAAATAAATATAAAAGTGTGTGATATTATTATTCTTAAAAAAAAGCAACTAGAAGATTGTCTTGCTTCTTTGCTACAATCAAGTTACAAATGGGTAATATAAAGTATAATCCTTTGGTTAATTATAATTCGAATGGATAATCATAAATGATAAGTCTGGAAAATTATCTAACAAATCGTCTAATTATATATAAAATCAAATGATTAATCAGATAATTTGAATGACAAATTATTAAATCTGAATAATTACGTAAAAGACTGTCTAATAATTTATCAGATTAATCAATTTTAATAATACTAAATCATAACAATCGTAAAATTAATTAACTTAAATTTAAATCATAATTATTCATGTTTGAATGTAGTTATATTCATTTTTATTAAAATTTCATACAAATTTTTTAAATAAATGTTTAAGACACGAAGAAAAGTTACCTATTAACCATGGCATAACTTAGATCTGGGACCCCACGTCCCAAACACTTAGCTAGTAGAGAATAACACCAAAGATTTAATGGAGAATCTATAGTCTTAAAGCAACCAATGTAGAAAAGCAAGAGTTGCATTGCCACCACCATAATGTGTTGTTTCAGTCTTTATAGAAGACTGCAAGGTTAAAAGCAAGAGTTGCATAGAGTGTTCTGAGAGTGAGTTTTTTAGTGCAGTTAGTCATCACCCTTGTGTTTATATTCAGTATTTCTGTAAAAGTGTTATTTTCAATATAAAAGTGTTATTTTCAATATAAGAAATATTTACGAAACCAACAAACTCAGCCTCGTCGTAACACCTAGCGTCAATCGCCGGCTTCGCAGATTTGTTTTCTTATTCGTCGTAATCATTCGTTAATTCTTTCTTTCTTTTTCTGTTTCATCGATTCATTGCCAAATTTTCTCCCAAAGTCAAACAAAAATGCCTGAAAAGTCACACATCTGCACATGGCTAATTCATGTCTCACTGACACTTCTCACTGTAACAGCAACATCGTCATCGTTATCATCATCACACTGTGCCATGGCCGTCACGCCCTCCACCTCTCTCCTCTCCTTCCTCCAACGCCTCCAAAAAACCGCCTTCGAAGCGTTCGGCGGTCCCGATTTCGATCCCAAGACCTACGTCGACGTGCCTCTTAAGTTCGCACTATCCGTCACCCAGGACGCGTTCCAGAAGCTTCCGCGTAACGCCGACGGCACCGTGCCGGCTGAAGATTTAAAGCGCTTTCTAGAAGCCTATTTCGGAGGTGCAGGGGACGATCTGGTGCACCTGACCCCACACGATTTCGTTCGCGAACCGGAGGGTTTCTTGCCCAAGGTCAAACACCCTCAGGTGCGGGCCTGGGCCTTGCAGGTCCATTGGCTTTGGAAAAACTTGACCCGGAAAGTATCCGATGCGGTGCAGGCGCACCCGGATTTGCATACGCTGCTCCCTCTCCCCGGTTCCGTTGTCATTCCCGGTTCGCGTTTTCGCGAGGTTTATTACTGGGATTCTTACTGGGTTATTAGGTCCGTTTATTTTTAATTTTTTGTTTGTTCCTGCACTTAGTTATTACTACTGGGCCTAGGACCAGCCCTGCTCACTGGGATTTGTTTATGGGCTTTAGGGGCCTGATCGCGAGTAAAATGCACGACACTGCTACTGCTATTGTGACCAACCTCATTTCCTTGATAGAACAATATGGATTTGTTCTTAATGGTGCTAGAGCATACTACAGTAACAGGAGGTACTCTCTACATTACTTAAATGTTATTATTATTATTATTATTATTATTATTATTATTATTATTATTATTATTATTATATTAACTGAATTTTTTTAATTGTTTCTTCTAAGCTGGGAATGTTTGGTAGTTATAGAGATGTGGCGGTTTAAGATCGTGCAATAATTAATTTGTTGTTTTGACTAGGATTTTTTTTTTATCTGTTGTATCTTGATGAATATAGCTTAGATATGTACACTGTACATGGATTTGTAGCATGAATGAAGACGTTAAGTATGCCTTATTAAATTTCTTTAGGTGACAAAGATGTAGTGGTGTCTATATCTTTTGTTATTTATAGTTCCTTCATTTCCTTATATTGAAATGTAAGTTTCACCCTTAAAAATAGTATTTAATGACTTTTGAATTTCCAATATAAATACTTTCCTTTTCAATATAACAAACTTTCTATGTTTGTCTTCTCATCACTATTTATGCACAATTGTACATAAAAATCTCTATAACTTACTGATAAATTTAACTTCTATCATCACTTAGCAATTTACCGTGTTTAAAAAGGCGAAAAGTGTTGTCAATGTGAAATTATTGTCCCGGGGTATGAAATAGAATCATCTATATAGTATTTTACTAATTTCCTACTTACTAAATGAATAAAGTATAACACATTTTTCACATTCATAATATATTGCATGCCTTTATATTTTTCAACCACGCATTAGGAGGATTTAGAAGAAGTGTATTACTACTCATGTCTCAGTTTGGACCTTTATTTTTCAGGTTTTGTTGTAGCTTATGATTTATCTATACACATTTTCTTACAACGTTAATAATTTTGATCCTTTCATTGAATTAGATGCCATTTGTCACCTAAAAGATCATTTTTTTTTCTAGTTTTATAATTTAAAAACAACCTAACGAGTAAGTTTCGAACGGATTTTGGAGCATGATTTTACTCAAGTCTTTTTTACCTTGATATCATGCCATTCTCATTCAAATCTGTAGATGGGAGGAAAATGCCACTCTTGCTTATATCTGGACCGCTCCTTTTGAAATAAAAGGAAGTCATTGTATAATTCGTACCCTCAAACTGAAAAAGTGACTATAAATTTTACTATGATATTATAGCCAGCCTCCTCTTTTAAGCGCTATGATTTATGAGATATACCGTACCACCGGTGACGTGGAATTGGTTAAAAGATCTCTACCTGCACTAATCAAAGAGTATGAATTTTGGAATTCAGGTATTAATTACGCTACTACTTTTTGCCTCGATCACTATTGTCTGCGGTTGGGTAATATTTGTAGTGTTCCTTCTATTTTTTGGTAGGTTTACCTTTTGCTTCATCTTGTAGATATACACAAGGTGACCATTTTGGATGCTCAAGGTTGCACTCACACCTTAAATCGCTATAATGCAATGTGGGACAAACCCAGGCCAGAATCATCCATTAAGGTGTGTTTGGTTTGTTAACAACTGTGGTATTATTGAGATGGGACTTAAACTATAACTTTGGCTAATTCATGCCATAGGACCAGGTATTTGCTTCCAACTTCTCGAGTGTTTCAGAAAAACAGCAGTTTTACCGTGACCTGGCTTCAGCTGCTGAATCAGGATGGGATTTCAGCACTAGATGGATGAGGTAAGATTTTACATACGCTAAGACCTCCTAAAAGGGAAAAAAAATATGAAAATCATCTGAATAAATGTCTAGGTATTCAGATGCTCATAAAGTAACTCACAATGTTCATTAGGGGCAAGCCTAAGCAACACACTTTCAACCAAATGTTTAGCTTTTTCAGAAAAACACACATCGACTTAGGTCTAACATGTTTCCTTGTTTAAGAGTCAGGAGTACTTACAGTTCAGTACAATCTTGTTCCTATTAATGCAGAAACCCGCCTAATTTCACAACATTGGCTACAACTTCCGTAATACCTGTTGATTTAAATGCATTTATACTCGGGGTAAGTCTTATACTAATATCTAAAAGAAGACCTGAAATCAGTGTCTCTCTGCAACCTTATCAATTCTGTAATGCCCATTGGTTCAGATGGAACTTAATATTGCCTTCTTTGCAAAAGTTGTTGGAGATAATGGCACTGCTGAACGGTTCCTGGAAAATGCTGATCTTAGAAAGAAGGCAATGGACTCTGTTTTCTGGAATGCAAACATGAAACAATGGCTTGACTACTGGCTCGAAAATACATGTGAGGTATTTCCTGGAACCACATGTATTAATCTACCAGTAGATGAGGGTTCTTCTGACTGTACATTTGATACTTTTAGGAGGTTCATGTTTGGAAAAACGGGCGCCAGAATAAAAATGTATTTGCTTCCAATTTTGTTCCTTTGTGGATGAAACCATTTTATTCAGGTATGCTTAATGTGTTAACATATCAACTTTACTAACGAGTAATGAGAAAATTTAAGTACGTAAGCAGTTATCGCGATCATTGTGGTATCAGTTAAGTATTGGGGTTCAATCCTTATTGTAAATCATCAAGCTTGAACTTCATTCACACGAGGTTACCTTGAACACATTTATTCACGAAGAACTAGGCTCTTAAGATCATTTTCGGAAGTGTGGACAATTACACCGTTATAGACTTCTATCTCATCAGTTATGCTGTCCAATTATAGGTTAATAAGTGGCCCTACTGGTGCCAAATGCCAAATTTTAAAGTAACGTAGATTTCTAAGTGCTTACATTGAATAGTTGATCTCTGAACATGTGGCTAGATTTCTAAAGAGGTTGATTAGCATGTGATTTTATGAAATATTGCTAAAAGTCTGTTAAGCAGTGACAGTTTATTTTCATTGGTGTCATGTTAATTCAAATCTGTTTTTGCTGAATATAAAACTTTAGCACCACCAGGCAATGGCTAAATTGTTTTGAACTTGGGTGATATTGATCACTATGATGAGTTTACCTTTGTGAAACATAGAAGAAAAAACATTTTCCTGCATTTTAAGTTGATTACTAAATATGTTTTAATGTTTATCAAGACACTTCACTTGTGGCTAGTGTCGTTGAAAGTCTCAAAACTTCCAACCTTGTCCGTGCCGCTGGAGTTGCAACTTCTTTGACTGATTCAGGACAACAGTGGTAAGTAATATAAGCAGGGTGAGACTGGGTAAGACAGGTA